AGGCCTCTCGAAGCTCGGCATTATTGCATCTCTAATCAATACAAACTTGAAGGGTTCATCACTACTTCACAGCATTAATGTGGCTAAGTGTTCAGCTTTTATATATGGCGAAGCTTTCGAGGAGACAATCGGCGATATTACTTCTGACATTCATGCCAAGTTATACCAATTTAATAACTGTAGAAATAAGCCAATGCGTAACTTAGTGGAGGACTTGACAGCTCTTTTAGATTCTTGCAGCGGTTATGAAGTGTTGCCTACCGAAGCTCAACAGCCAAATCATCACGATAAATTAGTGTATATTTACACCTCTGGCACGACGGGATTACCGAAGGCGGCAGTGATCTCGCATTCACGGTATAATATACTTATGAAGTTAGATAATTTTATAAAGCAATATATGCTGGATAATCGTAAAACGTTTGAGTTAGGTTAGGTGGCATTGATTGGCCAAGAAAAGCCACAAATAGACCGAATAAGTACGTCCCTAAATAGTTAAAGACCAGGTGCTATGTGAGATCAAAGCCTTAGTTTTAGGTGATTTAAATTCCAGGATCAGCTCTGATGTTTTTTTTAAAGCACAACAAAATTAAGTAAAGGACGGCTTGCTTGAAATATCTGTATATCTTTGTACTGGTCCCAGCATTTTAAGAGCATTGATACCATTTCTCCCCATACTAAATCCTGCCTAAATCGGCTAGTGCATATATATCTCAATCGTTCGTCGTCAATCTCCGCTCCAGGAAACGTACGACGGTGTTAGTGCCAAAGGAAAAGGAGCATAGCTGAGTACGATTAGGGGTATGTCAAATATTGGGTATGTTGGGCTGAAGTCTGCTTCAGTATTCGGATCTCTTAAGGCAGCTTTGTCTATGATGGTTGCCCAGAGGCTTCAAGTAAGTGCCTGTTCAGGTGTCCGCTGCGGTAGAAGCCGATAAGTAGTTGTTTGCTGAGCATAAGAAAGGATATTATTGCTGTCCGGAGGACGGTGATTTGATAGGTCTGTAGCTTTTACCTCTGCTTAGTATTCGCCACAGTAGCCAAACTACCGCAGCTTGAGCTCATATGTCCTGGTAGTAAAAGCAGTATCATGGTTTCGGTTGACTTTGTAGTCCCCTCACTAGGCTCCGTGCAGTGAAGAAGTGCGAATGTTCTATAAGATAGTCGTTTACTTTCATCCACATTGCTGGATGCCAATATCGAGTAAATGTGTAGCTCTCTCACAGAAGCGATTTCCGGTTTACCAGTTGCCGAATTTCCAAGTTTAGGCGTAGCATAGATGGACACCCTTATTTGCTAGTATAGCAGATTATGTCTACCGGAACACATGAAGCATGACGCTGAATCAGTAAGCACCGTGTGGAACTGCAGTCCGCCAACCCTGATGTCTTGAATTCCAAGAAAAGTATGCTCTCGGATTTAGCCTCCTGTCGCTCTTTAGATTTAGCCTCCTGTCGCAGTTGTAGTAGTCAATTGTCCACTCGCGCATGATGCGTAGACGAGGGCGTAGTCGGAAATGGCACTAGCCAAGGCAGGAGTTTCCCACTCGGCTAGCCGATACACGGGAATTCGACTGCGGTATTGGAGGTGGGGGAGTAAGGCGGCAGGAGCTTGCTTTTTGCATAGGTAAAGTCGTGGAGCCGAGGGGTCTAGGTGGGCCCGTGGGGACAGAAGGTGTCCTGCGGAGTGAGCAACAAGAAACGATTTACATACCATGAGGTCCACTTCCTATGAAACCTATTCTAAGCCAGAACGAGTTCTTAGATGACTACCTCCGTTGCGAAATAGACACTTAATCAAAATGGAGTTCAGATGGGCTTGCCGATTTAAACAGGGTTACATGGTCGAACAACATTCACTGGTCGGATAAAACCCGAGCCTTCGCGATAAGTAGAAAGGTGCTAGTAGTGGAAACCGAGTTTATGTGCATCGAATATCTTCGATGATTTCATGTAAACATGATTCGCGGTGTCTTGCACTTTGCTTAAGTAGCAGTGTTACCTTTTCTCCTACGGGGGCTGCCCCAAAAAAGGAATCGACTAATATTTGAGAACTGCGGCAGACATCTGTCATTTATAAAGAACGAAACATCATCCGCGTAAGCTGTGATTGCAGCTGCAGCTCCTTCCACTTGCATGCGACACTTGTTGGCCGCAAGCTTCTATAGAAGTTATTATAGCCAGATTGGGGCGTTCTCCTTCGCATGACTTCAGGTTTTGCTTCCATTCTAATGTGATCGGCTCCGCAGCGTGCAGTCGTCCAGTACCTGAACATACAATGCACGCATATCGAAGTGTTTGCTTCTATTATAGCATATGTGAAGACATTATTGGAGGCTTGTGCAATGTCCAGAAAAATACCTAAAGTGAATTACCCATTTTGCAGGACCTTTCTATTCATCTGAATAATGTTTCCAGAACAGGTTCGCCTTTAAAGCTAGCTTGTCATCCCAATTTAGCTTGATAAACACATCTTCTTATTAGCCGTTTCAAAGCTTTTGAAAGCAGATGCCGAGCTGGCTGATGAACCTGAAATCTTTCAAGAAACACGGCTCTTTTTTTCTCGCTTTTGGCACAAACATATTCCTTGCTAGTCTTCTCATGAATTTTAAAATCCTTTTTGGTCCTGCTGGTTGGGAAATGTTATCTCTATTTTAGCTCTTTGAAGCCCTTCCATAAAATTCTCAATACACTGCACCTAAATTTCTTCCTCATTTTTAGTATTGAGGTCTCGCTTGGACTTTCTATGTTTCCATAGTTAAGAACAAGCTTTGCAAATAACTTCGCTTAGTATTTAAAAAAATTGTAGCTCCGGATTTCGCGAGCTTCGGCTGGTTTAAGATATCCCCACCCTTTTGCTGGAGGTTTCAGCAGCGGGACGCATAAGTACGGCCGGGATTTACCTTCGCACGAGATACGAAGTGTGGAAGACATTGCCGAGGGAGCTTGTTGAGTGGTCGTTGGGTTCTCTAGGGTGGTCTTTTATTTTCGCTCACTTAAAAATAAATAGTTTGGATTTATGGGACAGATGTTTTTATACAATGTAAATATATATTTCATGTTTATTTTCAGGTATATTTTCATAGCTGCAGGCATTCACTACACCCTAAATTTTAAAAATAAGGATGTTTACTACACTCCTTTGCCGCTCTATCATACAGCTGGCGGTGTTATGAGCATAGGGCAAGCGTTACTCTTTGGCTCAACAGTTGCCATACGGAAAAAATTCTCAGCCTCGGCCTACTTTGCTGACTGTGTACGCTTTAACTGCACGGTAAGCCTACTGAGCTACTTATTACTAAGTTATATTGATTTTATACCCACTCCCTCTTCCTAGATTGGCCAATATATCGGCGAAATGGCGCGCTATATATTAGCCACACCACCTTCCGGGTACGATCGCAAGCACAAAATTCGTATGGTTTTCGGCAATGGACTGCGCCCACAAATCTGGACGCCTTTCGTCAAGCGATTTTATATAAAAAAAGTGGGCGAATTTTATGGCGCCACCGAGGGCAATGCCAATATTATGAATAATGACAATACAATTGGTGCCATTGGATTTATTTCACGTATATTTCCACAAATCTATCCAATAGCTATAATAAAAGCAGATTCTGATACTGGTGAGCCCATACGCGGCGCCGATGGCCTGTGTCAGCGTTGTGAGCCGGGCGAGTCGGGTGTTTTCATAGGTAAAATTATTAAGGGCAATCCCTCGCGCGAATTTCTAGGTTATGCTGATGAGACGGCTTCGTCGAAGAAAATTGCGCATAATGTCTTCAAAAAAGGTGATATGGCATTTCTCTCTGGTGATCTGTTGACCGCAGATGAACGCGGTTATCTCTATTTTATGGATCGCACTGGCGATACCTTTCGTTGGAAGGGCGAAAATGTGTCAACTAGTGAAGTGGAGGCACAGGTTAGTAATGTTGCTAGTTACAAGGACACCATCGTCTATGGTGTAACGATACCAAATGCAGAGGGACGTGCTGGAATGGCTGCGATTTATGATCCAGAACGGCAGGTAAACCTGGAACGTTTCGCACAGGATATATCGAAGGTGTTGCCCTCGTACGCTAGGCCGCAGTTTATAAGATTTCTAACTAATGTTGATATAACCGGCACATACAAGCTGCGTAAAGTTGATCTGCAAAAGGAGGGTTTCAACCCAAATATCATTCAGGATGCCATTTATTATTATCAGACAGCATCTGGACGCTATGGATTGTTGACTAATGACATATTTGAAAAGATTAACAGAGGTGAAGTACGCTTTTAGAGAAGATGTATTGTACATATTTATTGTGGAATATAATATAGTAGAAAATTAGTGCGCAATTAAATTTTTTACCAAAACATTCTTGATTTTGCATTTTGGTTTTAAGTGTGCGTACGCACAGAAAACGGAGCCGAACCGGACGCAACCGTTCCGAGATTTCAAATTGCTGTAGTTACATAAATTCCAGGCAACCAGCGGAGCTGCGCTGATTCTACTAGGGAGGCTCCGAAAGAGTCCCAAAGGAGCGTATCTCTCGGAGAAAAAGGCCTTCACAAGGTACAAATTATATATTTTTTTTCGAAATATCCGATTTGAAAAAATAAATTAATTTTTTTCTTTATGTTTTGTTTGTAAGTGAATTTAAAAAAGGGGATAGCGAATTTGAATGTTACAGTTTTTCGGTAGAAAATATCTTTATTTTTCGGAAATTTACAGTCTTTAAAAATAATCTGGCAACACTGGTTGAAACTCAGAATTCTATGACTTTTCTGGCTCTAATACATATGAGTCCGGATATTTACAGGGAAGCAATTCGAGTCCTTTTCATTTCGTATTCCGAGTGTGTGAGCATGTTTTTGCTCGTTCACTATGAAATGGCTTATGGGATTTCAATTAAATATGGTAAACAGATAGGTTATAACCTGAATGCCGGATATTTCCTTAAGAGAGTGGCCACCTTTTTCAAAAGTTATAATCAATCAATTAATGAGTGAAGTAAAATGTTACATCAATGTAGGTGTAAAAGGAAAAGGGCTTCAAAACGATTGATTTTGAAAATATTTTTAAAATCTTAAAATCGATTAATTATAGATTTCGAAACGAGAAATACGAGATAAAAATTGTAACACCTCAATTTAAGAAATGCCTTTTTGATTGCATTTTTTTTTATTTGCATGCAGCTGTGCATCCTTCTCACAATTTTATATCACTCGAATAACAAGTACGCTGTACTGCTATTCAAAATCTTTAATTTGAGCCCAGGTAGAAGTCCCTAGGCCCGTTGAGAGCCTTTACATTGATGTTTGTAAGTCCATGTGTGCGCGTTAATTCACACGTCCGCTTCTTAAAATAATCGCCAAAAAGTATGCCTTAATAAAATATCTTACTATAAAAAAATAACTAAAAATGCGTTAAAATTCAAACAAAATAACAAAAGCAAAATGCAGTATAAGTTATATATAGTATGTCGGTCGCATTGCGCTTTATTGCACTCTGCGCTTAAGTACATACATACATACATACATATGTGCATATAACAAAGTATGTAACTGAAAATTGGTACTTAAGACAGTACTTATAAGTAAGCTTTAATGGCACGCCAAAGAAGTGGAAACACTCAATTGCATTTGGTTTTGAACGAAAGCGAAAGGCTTATGCAAATACATACAGTGCATTGGAAAGCTTTTCAAGTACTCGACGTGAAAATAAGCAAATCGCACCTATTTTTCATAATTACATAAATATTTTCCTTGCAAACAACATACATATGTATGTATGTGTAAATTTGTATGTTCATCCAGTGTAATGCAGTGAATGACCTGCTGACAGAGAAAAATCTGCGAAAGCCTTTTTTCTAAAAAAAAAAAACATTGAAAAAATAAAAAGTGGTTTAAAACTTTTCGAAATATGCAAAAAGGAATATCACAATAATAGTTTTTAACACTAACAAAGACTGTGCCGAGCAAGCATTCTGCATGAAAAGCAAAAAAAAATTAAGTTATTTTTGAACCTTTAAATTTTGCTTTTTATTTTTAAGATATTCATAAAAAGCAATCATATGATAAGTATATATTTTTGGAAGTGAAAAAATCCTAAAAAATTCCAGAAACCTCCAAAAAAATCCGAAAGCTTTCCAAAAAAAACGAAAATTGTTTAAAAGAAAATTCCGAAAATCCTCGGTTAATTCTGAAAGATTTAGAGAAGTAAAGCACGAAGAATACCGAAAAAAATCTAGAATGGTCTCGAAAAAATTTCGAAAATCCAGAAAAAAATATAAACAATTCTGAAAGATTTCGAGAAATAAAGCACGAAGAATACCGAAAAAAATCTAGAATGGTCTCGAAAAAATTTCGAAAATCCAGAAAAAAATATAAACAAAAATTCCAAAAAAATATCGACTTCAAATAAAGTATCTCAGAAAAAATCTATATAATGCCTCCGTCCAAAATCCAAAATTTCCCGAAAAATATTGAATGTACCCGAATAAACTTGAGGATTTCTTGATAAGCTGTCAGACATTGCTGATATATGTATGTATATCTTACTCAAAATACAATAATAACAACACAAATTTTTTAAGTCATGATGTACATATGCATTTAGAATGGTAGGAGTTAAAATTTTAAAATATTTTTCGAAAACACTGATCCCTAAAATTTTACTATGGGCCTTTGAGAAAAAAATGGGTCTCTCGAGCAGTTTAGAATGAAGGATTCCGAAAAGTTTGCGAAAAACCTCGAACAGTAAAAAATCTCAAAAGATTTCAAAAAGTCCATAAAAGTTTCGTAAGATTCCGAAAAAGTTCAGAATACGTTCGTTTAAAAAAAGTTAAAAAAAAAATCTCAAAATATATCGAATGATCTCGGAAAATAAGGATGTAATCATCTCAAAAAAACGCCAAGCATATTCCGAAAATCTCCAAAAGTAAAACGCGGAGAAACACAAAACTTCCCAACCGCTAAAAACCCGCGAAAATCTTAAAAAATCATACCAATACTCAATAAATAAAAAGTAAAAAATAATTATTACCCGAGAAAATTTTGAAAAATAATTGGCATTCCTTGCTCGAATTAATCGGAGCACCTTTTTTAAGTCATGTGGAAATTCGAATGGTAGCAGTTAAAGGGTTAAGATTTTTTATGAAAAAACTTTTGCTAAATTTTCCTATGGCTATTTGAGACAAAAATAATGTTTGAAAATAATTTATAAATAAAATTGCATGTGATATGATTGAATCTTTTTAAGGTTTGCTTATCACCACTGAATAAGCAGCATATTTGCAGTTTGGTTGAGCTCCCAAAATGGCTCAAAATATTTATAAGTCTATATGTATGTATGTATGTAGTCTTGCTTGTTTTTTTATGATAGATACTCAGTACGGTCTCTGTTTGCAACAGTTTTCCATAGACGGCTAAGGCATCTTGTCACCCACTCCAGTCGATGCATTACCTAAAAATAAATGCAACACACCCGTTGCATATTTCCCAACTTGCAAATATTTATTTGACTAAGTATGTATGAATGTATGTAAAGCATAGTTCGCAATTAAGTCTTACTCAATTGAGTTGTCACTAACAAGATTCGCCCATCAGCAGACCAACGCCGGCAGAAGCCACAGCTATGTACATATACACCTGCGTTCAACTAATCAGAAACGAAATACAAAATGATATTGTTTGCAAATTATGTTTATTTTTAATAATTTTCGTTCAAAATATAATTCAATCTGTAACAGAAACCACAATAATACAAGTTTCAAAGCTTGCAAAAATTGCAAAAAAAAAATTAATCAAACTTCAAAAAATTTTTCCAAATTTTTAATCAGAAAATTTAGAAAATTTTCGGGTATGCAGTGCAAGTCCCAAGTCATTAAAAATCATCGTTGATTTTGTAGACTTTTTTTATATGAAAAAAAAAAACAGCAACGCCCTCCACAAAAAAAAAAAATTCTAAAAAATCAACGGTAATTTTTAACGACTTGAAACTTGCACTTTCTTACTACAATTGAATGGCCCACAAAACTGCATACCTGAAATTTTTCTAAATATTCTAATTAAAAATTTTGAATTTTTGATGGCAATTTTTTGTAGTTTGATTATTTTTTTTTGCAATTTGTGCAAGCTTTAAAACTTTTTTTATTAGTGTGGTTTCTGTTAGAGATTGAATTATATTTTAAATGAAAATTATGAAAAATAAAAAAATAAATACAATTTGCAAACAATATCATTTTGAATTTTGTTTCGAATTAGTTGAACGCAGGTGTATGTATGTATGTATGTAGTAAAACCGTGATGACCGCAAGTGAAATCGCACATTATCCATAACTCACATGGGCGGACTTTTGGACATTTTAAGATGCATAATCAGAGAGTAGTGAAATATATGTACATTAGGGTGATAAAAAAAAAAATTAGTTCGGATTGTTCCACACAGCAAAAAATATAAGCTAGGCTAAACAATTTGTCGTAGAAATGGTATAGAATCCTTAAATTCTCTGTTTCTCTTCAATAGACTTCGAATGATAATACTCAATCCTTTTTAATACTAAGTATTTTTAATAGGTCCCCAAAAAGCCTCAAAAAATGCTAAAAATAGTAAAACAAACAATTGGAAGTCTCCTGAAGAGAAACACAGTTTTCCGATCGAAAAATATTTGATTTTCAAAGATTCTATCCCATTTCTAAGAACTTTTTTCCCATATAAAGTACATGGAAAATTTTGAGCACTCTGAGCAACCGCTAAATATTTTTTGATTTCGAAATAAAAAACAGGGGTATATTTTTGCGATGTAGAACAATCTAGAGCTGAGAGCATTAAAATTCGGACTTCACTTTTTTGCATGCATTTTTGAATCGCCCTAATGTGCATACATATACAAATATCCACTCGTACACAAATTTGTACATACGTATGTAAATATGCTTGTCGGATAAGCGTTGATAATTGCGAAGCAGTTACGCTTGACTACCTTTAATGATAAACAAAAGCCAATGCAGATCTGTAGGAAGACAATTGAAACAAAGCGGTAAGTAACTTGGATATTTTTGTAAACTTTTTGGATAACTTGCTGAAATAATTGCATAATAGCAATTACAAAACTCAACGTACGGTCATATATTTATATACATATGTTTTAATTGTAGGTGCTCACAGTTAAAATCACATTTTGTGTCGGATACCAGGCCGACGAGCTGGTGAGGGAAGGCTCATCGTCTGGACGCATGTGACCGGAACAAGTTGATCTTCTTTGAAACTTTCAGTGGTCAGGGAGCCGGCTAAGGTTTAGCGAGTGGTCTTTACAGTAGATTCCACTTACAACTTTTTTGTCGAGCTAGCTTCGACCCGTCTGTATAGATAGCAGTAGACCCTGGATCTACATAAGTCTAAGTGGTTTACCCAGTCGCTTCTGCCTAGAATTTTGGTAGAAAACCTATTTTCGAAGCAGAAGCTTGGACTGATGTATTCCAGCTTATGAAGGGTTACTGGAATTTTGCCCAGAATTTTTGAGTGACTAAACCTCAGGTCTCTCTATGTATGAGCTGCATTCAGTCTAGTTGCGTTGCAGCTGGTCTGATATGTACCCTAAAGGGAGTAGAGGGCAGGGCATCTGTGATTACCAAGTTTGCCGTCCTATATACCCGGTAGAATATACTTCAGTAAGTGGACTTTTCTAGAGTCGGCCACCATACGGTGATCCCCTAGAAAAGGATGGGTTGGACAACCGCCGTGTACATCCAGTGTATTATGCACGGGTTCAGACCCAACCGTTTTCCTACATCTGCTTTACAGGCGTAGAAGACGGTAATGGCTTTCCTGAATCGTTCCGTAATATTCCGCTTCCAGTCCAACTTTCTTACGAGAATTAAAGGTGCTTAGATATTTAACCTTGTTGGAGAGTGCAAGTCCCACACCATTTAGGGAGGGGTGCTAAACATACGGTACCTTACATTTGCTCATGGATAGTAACATTTCGATCTTGGTGGAATTGACCTTGAGTCCACACTCCCTCTACC